GATGAAGAGAGAGATGCTCCTTTACTTGACTGGAAATGATGGGTCGACAACTCCGAATCACAAGCTATTGATAACTAACTAAACTACTCCGGATGAAGGGTGAAATACATCACCTTCCTTAAAGTATACGCGCTTTCTCGAATAGTAACCACCAGAAGATGGAGTCTTTAACTACCTCTATGAACTGCCTACTCCTACAGCTTGCCTTTTTAAAGCAACTGCTTCGCTGACTTCTCGTCTACCATCTTATCCTTCCTCATTCCCTTCCCCACTTCCCTTAGCCGAACTCCCAGCTCTTTTCCCGTTGTTCTAGCTCTTTCTGTTGACCTTCCAAGGTAAGTAGCAGCTTTGTAAGGTAGTTTTCCATATAACTTCTTACTGGAGTAGTACTATAGGCATTTTCGAGTGTTTGGATGCACGTCTTTTGTTCATATTCCTGCACAGTTAAGAGAGAAATTGTCCCCAAGGAAACCACTTGTGTCTTTCTTGGATATGCTCAGTCCAGGTATATACGCTATGACGTGAAATCCAAGAGACTCGATGTACCCTTGAATGTTCTCTTTAATGGGGGCGCTTCTTTCCATAACCTAATTAATCAGCCCCGGGGGAGAATGTAATACAGTTGTTTTGATATATATATATATATATATATATATATATATATATATATATATATATATATATATATATCTTTACTATCTTATAAAAGAAACCTAACTATTTCTAAAAATAGATTGATTATAATAATAATATTTTTTAAGACGTCCAAATGATGAAGCTGATAGTACAAGTAACCATTAATAAAATAATATTAAATTTTAACCACAATGTGAATTCAAATATTTATCATCAAATCTCCTTATATTTCTCAGCAATTTGATATGGTTCCCTCAAATCCCGGATTCATTCAAATTTTGAACCCTTTTAGATATCCTTAAATTTAGCATGTTGATTCAAATATCCCTGCAATCACATATACCTCTTTGTTCCCTCCTCTGCTATAAACCCCACCGTCCAGGAACAAAAAATGACTTCATCTCCCAAATAACACCATAGTTTGATTATTTTGTCTTCGACATGTACTTTCTTTTGTAACATAACATTTTTGTAGAGGAAACATATCACCGAAAGAATTTACACGCCCCGCCGCTTTGCGCGGGTACACTGCTAGTATATATATATATATATATATATATATATATATATATATATATATATATATATATATATATATATATATATATATCACGGATGCCTCCATGGGCTAATTGGCACCCATCATTATTCATGAACAATTGAACACCACCTCGAGTGGTGGTTATAGGGTGGTTAGTGGTTCTTAGTGGTTGTGGTCCTTTATGGCAGGAAGAATGATGGACAACGTTCAATGATTTTCATTCTTTCTCTCTTTCTCTCTCTCTCTTTATATATATATATATATATATATATATATATATATATATATATATATATATATATAGAAAGAGAGAGAGGGAGAGATTTTAAATAATTAAAAAATATATTTATTTATTTAAATAATAAAAATCAAAAAGGATATGATGATATAGAGTGAAAGGTATATAAAATGTTTAGTATGATTTGATACCGACCAAGTTAGTGATCGGTGGTGTGTATTAAATAGCCCAATGCCATCCAGAGTACTTATGACTAAAAAGTAATGTGGTGTGTATTACTTCATCACCAAATGTAACCACATTAAGTTGGCATCCCACCATTACACACCAACGTATTTAATTTATTTTTTGATTATTTAAACAAAAAAAATATTTTTTTAATTAGTTAAATATAAAGATAGAGATAGAGTGATAGAGAGAGAAAAATATATGATTGAATGTGGTCATTTGTGGTGGTGACCACATTTCAACGCAACATTATGTTTTCACATTTCACTCAATATCATCAGTTACTTTCATCTTTTACCACATTACCACATCAACCACAATTATTGTTAATGGTGAATACTTTGAATGGCCTAATTGTAACTTATAACTCATTTTTGTAACTATAAATTATATTCTAGTAGAGATCCTATTACTAATCACAAACTGAAACCATCATATTCGCTAACATTTCTTCTTATCTATTTAGGGCATCCATAATGCATACAACTCTATAGAGTTTAATAAATTTTTACATTATCATTTTATATTTCATACAACTTTATCAATATTTTAACAATCCATTAAACTCTATAAAATTCAATAAAACATTCTTTAAATATTTATTCAAGAGTTAATTTTTTTTTTTTCCAATTGAAGAATTCAATGGTCATTGAACTTCAAATCCATTCAATATCATTGTGACATCTCATAACGATAGAATTTCATTCATTAAATGAAAACTAAACTTGTAATATCGTTCAATTCTCTCGTTAAACTTGATTTGTGGATGCTTTAACCATCCATTGTAAATTATCTTATATCTAATAGGCAACAAACTAAGTTTATGGATTAGTTGCTCTAAAAAAACTAGTAAAACATATACCCGGTTGCTAAAATAATATAAAAGGTTTTTGTGGAGATCTAATGCATCGTCTTGTTCATATTGATTCTAGTTGTTATTTAACATTCTTCGTTATAACTACTTTTTATATAACCCTCAGGGAGGAGGGAGTCATTCTCTCCCAACTCACTGAACCCACTGCCACATCATTTTTTCTCTTTTATTTTTTTTCATCTTTCCCAACCCATAACACACGGAAACCCTATCTTTTTGAACTCACTCAACCCATTCAATTAAAAAAAATACAAAACAAACAAGGTAAAATCTTAATTAGCAATAGAGTTACTGTCGGTACCACTCCCGCTTCAACTAGTTGTTTAATTGGTTTCAGTAACTCATATTATCACCTCTCTCTACTTTCTCTCTCATTTTCTCTTGTACCATGTGTTTTAAAACTTGCACCTTACTTTTTTTTATTTTTTTAATTGAGTGAGTTGAATCAGTTGAGAAAAAATATGATTTCCGTGTGTTGTGGGTTGGGAAAGATAAAGAAAAAGAAGAGACAAAAATTAATGTGATAGTGGGTTGGGAGGGAATGACTCCCTCCACCCTTAGAGGAGTTAGTTGGTAAACTATTAGTCATTGTTATTTTTTGTCAACTGCTAATTAAATAAGGGAAAACTGCAATAAAGTCCCTACATATTGGTCTCATAATCGATTTAGTCATTATATATTTTTTTATTCAATTAAGTCCCTAATACTGGTAATCGTATTTAATTTAACCCTTTGACCCGGTCGACATGTCATCCAACTTTCAAAAATTACATTTTTGGCCCAGATTTCAAAATTTATTACAAATTTGGTCCAAAATTTACACTTTTGGCCCAGATTTTATATTTTTTTTACAAATTTGATCCAAAATTTATCCTTTTTGCCCAAATTTTAAAATTTTATTATGTATTCATCATAACTTTAGTTTTTTAACAATTTTTTTTCTCAAAAATTTGTTTCTAATATGTTTTTTCTTTATAAACTCATTTTTATACAAAAAAAAAACATATTTTCACATAAAAATCTTATTTTTTCTATATAAAAACTTTTTTAAAAAAGTTTTTGTATATGAAATATCTACTTATAAAAATAGGTTTCGATTATTTGTGTGATTTCTATTAAAAAATCAATTAAGAAATTAAAAGTAACCTAAAATATACTATCAAATTATAGTTTGTCAAAAACTAGTTACACTCATTTTAATATTATTTATTTGCTCTTTAATCACATTTATAAGACAAATAATATCAGTTCTTAATTGTAGTTCATAGAAAAAAAAAAACATTTTATTAAAAAATTTCGACATCATGTTTTTGAGTAGGTTGTGATACTTTCTTTGTGAAGCTCAACTCAAGCATGTTTCAGGTGTTTGACTAATTTTTTTTACAAAACTCATGTGTAAATTCTTTAAAATTTTAGTTAAAGTATTCTATTGTATTATTGATAGTTATAATATTTTATATATTTATGTTGCTATTGTATTTTTGGTCATTTCTCACTCCCCTAAAAACATGTTTATCGATAATAAATTGCAATCGGTATTCCATATAACAGACATAAAAAATAAAGGAAATACAAGATTATAAATAATCCAAGTAAGAAGAGGTTGATTGACAATAAAAAATCACAACCTAGATCGGACACGTGCCATGAATGAATATGTTTTATTTAGATAATATATTTATTAAAAAGTTATAAAAAATATATCAAAGTTATGATTTTAACTTTTTTCTTAAAAAAATTCTTACGAATAAAATATAATATTGTTATATTATATATATATTTTAAATTTTCATATATAATGTAACTAGTTTAAACTTTCATATAAATGTGATTAAAGAACAAATAATCCAAACCTGTTTTTATAATTTAGGGTTACTTTTAATTTCTTAATTGATTTTTAAGAGATATCAAACAAACAATCCAAACCTATTTTTATAACTAGATATTTTTTATACAAAATACTTTTTAAAAAAAGTTTTTATATAGAAAAAATAAGATTCTTATGTGAAAATATAATTTTTTTTTGTATAAATATAAGATTATAAAAAAACATATTAGAAACAAATTTTTAAGAAGAAAAAGTTGTAAAAAAAAAAACTAAAGTTATGATGAATTCATAATAAAATTCTAAAACTTAGACAAAAAGGTAAATTTTGGATAAAATTTGTAAAATAAATTTAAAATCTGAACCAAAATTGTAACTCTTTGATCAAATTTGTAATAAATTTTGAAATTTGGATCAGAAATATATTTTTAAAAAATTAAATGGCCTATTAACCGGGTTAATTGGTTAAATTGAATAAATTTACTGATATTTAGGATTTAATTGAATAAAAAAATATATAAAAACTAAATCTATTATAAAACCAATATATATTATTTTATTTAGTTTTCCATTAAATAATCCAAATAAATATTAAAGAAGTTTGAGCTAATTAAATAATCCAAATAAATATTAAAGAAATTTGAGCTAATCCACAAACCTGAGCCGCATACCAATCTGGAAACACCATCCGGGCAAATGCAGGAAGGGATGGAGGAATTCAAATTGGACCAACACGACCCACCAGATCTCTGACACCGGGAGCAAATTTCGCCGCCGTCCACCCTGTACTCCATCTGAAAACCCATCCACAACAACTCCTGCAACGGCATCGTTTCACTCCGGTTAAAATCCTCAAACGCCGTCCTCAAAACCGGTACTCCAATCACACGCTCACATGCATCCCCTACAGCAATCGATCGATTCCCAATGAAATTAGCTCTCCCTTCTTCATCACCGGAACAATTAAACCTGCTCCTATTCGGAATCGAACTAACCAAATCCTCCAGACACGAAAAGTATAGCCCTTGAAAAATAGATCCGTCGGGAACGTAACTAAAAAAAGTGTACTGAAACGTGGTCAGGTCAATTGATTCATTTGGTCTCAACAAACAAGCATTAGGTTGATCACCCTCCCAGAGATCATCAAGGGCGAGGGTGAGTTTATTATTGTTTTGATCGATTCGTATAACACGGAACGTTGTGTTCGTGATTTGGAGAGTGGTGATGTTGTCTTCTCTGCAAGTAAGTTCGAATCCCACGAGTCCACAGTAAGAAGGACGACCGTTTCCCCAAAAGGGATAGCTGATATATGTGATCGACTGATCGCAAGCGTATAACTTGGTTGAGCATTCGTTAAATTGTTGGATGTTTCCGAGAGAAAGAATTGGGAATAGAAAGACGAATATACTACTAAAGGAAACATCGGTTGAAGACATACAGATGGAGATTCAGCAGATAAAATGAGAATAAATTGGATGGCTAATGGAAGCTTCAAATTTCTATAAAGTATGAAGGGCAAAAACGTAGAGCTGCTAGTATTGGCTTTTCGAATTGTTGATTATTCAAATCGAAATTAATTTTGAGTTTCTGAAAGTATTGACTTTTCGACTTTTCAACTCATATTATTTTGGCTTCAGTAAACCTATTAAATTATACAGTATATATTAAAGAATTAAGGAGTACAATTACCAGAAATTACCAGAACGGAAATTCTCAAGGCATGTTAAATTCAAGACGTGTTAGTTGTTGCATTAAATAAAACTAGTTTTATATAGGTTTTATGAACGGTTACTATTTTACTTTGGAGAGATTGGTTTAAGTGGCTTGTACGAGCAGACCAAAACCATTTGCAATACAAAGAATTGCTTGGATCAAAATACTGGGAGTCCCACTACCACTATGAGACGAAAACAACTTCACCATTGCACGACGACCCGGCAAAGTTATCAACCCATTCGACAACATCTCTAACAGAAGCGACTACTCCATGGGAAAGGTTGGAGTAATAACATCATCGAGGAAATGGATCAATGAAGAAATAACAATCGTGGTTGAGCGTGTGGAATACCAAGTCGGGGTAGTTGAATATACAGACGATTGGTCTCCGTTCAAACCTTCACCATTTGACAAGGTAGAGGAATCCGATGAAGAGGAGGATATCGAAAGCGTCTCAGACAGATGAAAGCCGATGAACAGGAAGGAGAAATTTGACCGGTTGATTAATGCAAGAAGCAAGTAGGAATGTCATCACCGATGGCTATCAACGGTAGTGAAGGCATGATTGGAAATCCGGATAATACAGGGGCGGCCGAAGTCAACCCGCGGACAACGGAACAACCGACAGATCGACGATGACAACATTAATAGCAAGGCTCCTCTTCCCAGATCAGTGGCGCTGATTGAAATTCCCCAAATCTAGGGGTGTTGATCGGGTAATTTTTTCAGGTTTCGGATAATTCGGGGTTTTCATTTAAAAAAAAATACCCGTTACCTGACCCAAATTAAATTCGGGTAGTAGGTCGAGTTTGGGTAATTCGGGTATTACTCGAAATATATATATATATATATATATATATATATATATATATATATATATATATATATATAGAGCTAGGTTCAAATGTTTTTGACAACTATTGTGTGACTGAATGCACCAATAGGAATTGAGGAAATAATAAATCATTAAATAAATAATTTAAGTTTTGTAATCTATGCATATTTAATTATGATAATTCTTTAATTTCCTAAACCCTATTCTTCTCCCATCTTTATCTTCAAACGATCGGTTTCAAAAATCTGTACCCTCACTTCAACAGGCAACTTCACTGCCGCTCCTCTGCCAGCCGACCATCACCTTCTTCCTCCCTCTCCATCGTCGGCTTCGTATTCCATCACTGAAATAGGTTTATAGCTTCCGTCGTACACCAACATCCTAGTCCTGGTATGTTCTTGAACTCAATTCTAATTTTTAAACCTAATTTCTTATTTTACAATCAAAATTCTTTTAAGAATGTTGATGTTACCAAGTTTTTTCCTACCAGAATCCACCATTGCAGGCAACAGATTGAAAGAAAAAGAAACATCGAAAAAGATATTACTACAGGTAATCGCCTCCTTTTCAATTTGTATTCTTCAACTTTTATCCCCATAATTTTCGCACATAGTAAGCTTTAAAGACTCTTGATATCTTAAAATGAAATTAAAATTGATCTTGTTGAATCAAGAGTAATCACAATCATTTTCTAAACCTAAGTTTATATAAACCATAAAGAATCACAATATGTGGTTTAGTTTTTCTGATTTCGCATGGTGGGACATTACACCACTATTATTCTCTCTTTTCCATTAATCGAAGTAAATGATTTTGTAGTTTATTGATTTCTACGGCATAGTAAAGCTAATAAAGCAGGTGTAGGTAATGTTTTGCTATTTACTGTATAAGTATTTAAAACTTTTGTATTTTTAGTCGAAATTTTATGTTGGTTGGATAAATGGATGATCAATGTTCATACGTAAAAGTAGTGGCATTTTGGTTGGCTTTATTTTCATTAAAACTAATAATATATCCCATTTGATTTTGTTTTAAAAAACTCTTCGTTGTGATTTATAAAATTTGTTGATTATTGTGATTAACGAGTTATTATAATTATGTTAGAATTCTTATGGAATTTAAGTTTAAGCAAGAAACAAAATTGAAATATTCTTTTAGAATTGACGTTAATATGTGTAGTTACGTTATTTAGGTGTTTTTATTTTGAAAAAAAAAATATGTTATAAATTCTATAAGAATATAAGATAAAACTTCATCGCGGCTACTTAATTCTTCCATTATTCACTATAATATTTGATTTTCGATTTTTCTACTTATTGATTGCTTGCAATTCTTCATCTGAATGCTAATGATTTACGATTATTCACATGGATTTTCCATTTGATTTATTCACTGATTTTTCTTTTTCTTTCAATCCTTACTTGAGCTTTCTATTAACTTTTTTCCCCTTGTTCCAAGTAAAATGATTATATTTTATTCTGCAAGAATAGTTTATTCTGTAAGAATATTTTTTTTGTATTCTGAAAGAATTGCAATTAATTATTTGTATGCTTAAGGTGTAGTTGTTAGGATGATGCAGGAATGATGAGGAAACTTATGAAAAAAAGATATATGATACTTCATTCTCAAAGAATGAAGAAAAACAACAATATTCTTTCAGAATTTCAAGATTCAACATCCAAAAACAGCAATATTGTTTCAGAATTCAAGAATTCAAGAAGAAAACATGGCACACGATAGTATTCTAGCGGAATGTTGTTATTTTTTTTAAGAATGTTATTCATTTTTGTTTGTATTCTTTTAGAATTTTTATAACTATATTAAAATGTATAGGACTTTTAGTCTATAAGAATATGTATGAATTTGTATTTAAGTTCGGATGTATAAGAATATATTAGAATGTTTGTTATTTAAACATCTTATTCATGAATTTTGTTTTTCTTCAGTAATATTCTATTAGAATACAATTCTGAAAGAGTATCATTCTAACAAAAAAAATATTCTGATAGAATAAAATCGGTAAAAATTGAAATTGAATTAATTAAAAAATTCATATTTTTTTAAATTAGCAAAATTAATCATCCCTAAAAATCCGAAAATTTATTTTTATAAATGTAGTTAATTGTCCAAAATACGCTTTTAATAAAAATTGTGTGATTATATGATACATGCTACCCTATTGTAATATCATAGACCCTCAGATCATGATTGTTGATTCTATTCATCCGATGGTCCAGATCTGTGCATTCTGGCACACAATAGTTACTGGAAACAATATAACCTAACCCTATATATATATATATATATATATATATATATATATATATATATATATATATATATATATATATTTATATATATAGGATATAGATCCGGTAATAATTTTTTTTTGGTAGGAAGGTAAAAAGTTTTTTTTCTACATATTTTTTTGACGAACAAAATAAATGAATCACTAGATGATTCATTTGTAAGATGATTCACAAGAAAAAATTCTCAAAAAAACATCTTTATGATTCATTTTTAAGTAAATTAAGAAAAAATTCATTTTTATGATAATTTTAGTGAATAACAACAAAATCATTGTATAAATGAATCATCGATATGTTTTTTTGAGAATTTTTTCTTGTGAATCATCTTACAAATGAATTATCTAATGATTCATTTTGTTTGTTCGCGAAAAAATATGTAGAAAAAAAACTTCTTACCTTCCTACCAAAAATTTCCTTCTTATTTGATCTTGACTCTCTCTCTCTCTCTCTCTCTCTCTATATATATATATATATATATATATATATATATATATATATATATATATATATATATATATATATATATATATAAATGTCTTAGCTTCCTACCCAAAATTTCCTTCTTATTTGATCTTGATTCTCTCTCTCTCCCTCTCTATACATATATATATATATATATATATATATATATATATATATATATATATATATATATATATATATATATATATATATATATATATATATATATATATTTGAATGGCACCTAAAAAATAAATTTAATGAAATAAATATGCCGTACTCTATTAGTCTTGTTTATATAAACAAACGTGACATAAACGAAGTTACTCAAACTTTGAACATCAAATAATCTTTTAACTACTTAATATAATCTAATAAGATGCTAATAAGATGTTAAAAAAACAAATACTTAAAGATCTTAGTTTAAAAGTTTAAAATGTTTAAGATAATTGTAGCCATAAGTTTTGCTATGTTCTGAAGCTTCGTCAAGATAATGAGTTTATTAGTTGCAAAAAAACTATAATTTAGAAAACAGTTAAGTTTTAAAGAACATACTGACATATAAACAATTGTTTTTAATATTGTTGGTGCCATACTGCCATAATAAAAGAGATTCATGTTTTACAATTATGATAATTAATCTAAGCGTGATCAAATACTTACTGCTACAGGGTATAAGCTCTACAAAAGATTTTTTTTTTTTTTAAATAATTCGGGTATACCTGAAACCCAACAAACGTACCCTATATACCCGACCTAAAAAAATCAGGTTACCCTAATACCCAAAAAAATTAACTCAATACTCGATTTACCTGATACCCAAAAAAATCGAACGGATAATTCGGATATCGGGTATTTTCGATGCGCTACCAAAATCCACACATTGGAACCCAAAATTGCTTTAACGAGAATACAGAGCACATGATTCCAAAATCAGTGGCACCTCCCAGTAACTTCCCTGGCCTTGGGTCGGTCCACAATTTTGTACCCGTTGGTTCCTGTGGCCCAACGACCCAAATTCATGAGAGTAGTGATGTTGTCTTCTCTGCAAGTATGTTCGAATCCCTCGAGTCCACAGTAAGAAGGACGACAGTTTCCCCAAAATGGATATATG